TATATATCATATCCCTGTTTATATTTTTGTGAATATTATTTACATCTACCTTACACTTTCTAACTGACTGTATATTTTACTGGTTCACACTGATAATAACATAACGTTCATTTGAATTTTTCCTTATCTGTGTTCATCAGTAAACATTGAAAATGTGTCTATGTTGTTTACTTTCATTCTCTTGATGTTTAGTAGGTCAAAACATAAAAAAGCTCATTAAATTACAACGTTTCTTCAGCAACAATAATTATATCTTGAAATGTGAAACCATGTTTTCAGACCTATTAACAGCTTATCAGGGCCAGTTTTACAAACGCTAGATAAAGTTATCAGCCAAATAAAGTTATCTAGTCCTTAGATTTTTGTATGGATTATATCTGRTGAATAAGGATTTACCAGTTGGATAGCACTATTCACACTTTGTACAACTGGCCCTGGGGTTGCAGTGAAAATCCATGGTAAACATTTTGAAAAAAATACGAACAAAGAACACACTCTACAGCACTTATTATGAATCTATGATATTTTCTTATTTCAAGATATGTTGTCAGGGACAACAAATTGTTAAGCAGTGATTGCATAACCAAAAGGAACAATGGTCGCAATGCCTAACATTACAAAATATCACTTGTCGATTGGAAATGAAGACTGAATAGGCCCAATAATCACTATAGATTGTATTACAGAACCAATAATATAATATATAACCAATAATATCTATAATTATAGATTATTCCTGATTATAAAATTTCTCTTACATTTAAATGTACAGCGAATTTCATTAAACATTGGCCGCTAGATTTACAAAGCTCATTTGAAAGTTGCTAAGTTTGTTTTAAACTCCATAAGTTTGTTTGGATCTTGTWTGATATCTGTCAATTGTCATTTTCWATTTGATATCTGTGTCATTTTCAATATTTAAAAAAAATCAGATTTTTTTAAATAAAATACTACTAAAACTACTTTACCTGAATATTAATGTGTCTGTCTTTTGAGTTGATACATGTATGTTGGTCAATAGATATTTTAATTATGTAATTAAGGCATGAATAAAGTTTGTAAATATAGCTCGCAACTCTCGTATGAACTCGGCAACTTGTGAACAATCTAGTAGCCAATGTTCAGTGAAATTCACTGTAAAAGAAAGAAAGAATTATGACAAGAGATATTTTAATTTATATTTAAGGCATGAATAAAGTTTATAAATGTAGTTCGCAACTCTCGTATGAACTCGGCAACTTGTGAACAATCTAGTAGCCAATGTTCAGTGAAATCCACTGTAAAAGAAAGAAAGAATTATGACAAGAGATATTTTAATTTATATTTAAGGCATGAATAAAGTTTATAAATGTAGTTCACAACTCTGGTATGAACTTGGYAACTTGTGAACAATCTAGTARCCAATGGYCAGTGAAATCCACTGTAAAAGAAAGAAAGAATTATCACTAACACAGTCTTTTTTAAACCAGGTCCCTATCATAAAGCTTACAGATGAAAAAACACAAGTTAAAATAGACATCAGCTTTAATGTTTCTGCAGGACTGAATGCTGCTGAATTTGTTAGAGTAAGTTATTATTCCCTTTTCAGAATAACAATCAAACCATACATGTACCACATTATATAAAATATGAGCGTGAGAACTTTATGGGCGTTTTAAACTGCAAGCTGCAAAAAAAGGATCCGCGTAAATTCTACATGTGAAATTTAATACACTTCTATTTCTTTAATCATTTCACTTCTTTATATGTAAATGTTGAATGTACATCGATAATTGTTTGACTACTCATTGAATAACAAAGGATTTTTAAGTCTTAAATTTATCCCTTTTATTTCAAAATCATGAAAATTAATGCTCTCAAAATATTTGTGTTCCAAATTCACGAAATTAAGTGCTCACAAAAATTAGTACGAAAAAGTACTAAAATATGTCCTTCCAACAGAACAATATAGAGACATATGAATGCCTTCCACCATTGGTTCTTGTACTGAAGCAGTTTTTACTTCAACGTGATCTAAATGAAGTGTTCACTGGTGGTGTCAGTTCCTACAGCCTTATCCTTATGGTCATCAGCTTTTTCCAGGTACACCATTGACACTTTACTTTTTATGATTTTTGTTATTGCTTGCAACCGGCTTGTGTCAGTCCTCATCAACTTTGCACACACACACAAATGATGCACAACTTGCTTCCACAACTTGATTGAAAAAGATGTTTTGAAAAAGTTTCAGGTTTTCAAGTTAGTTCTTAATTCTTAGTTCTTATAAGAAGATTATCTGTTCTAAAATATTTAGGATACTACGCGAGCTGTGATTGGTCGAAAACCATGTTTGATTACAGTATCAAAACACGCTCGCGCACGTCAAAAATTTCTTGTTTTCTTTTAATTTTAGAAAAGAAATAAAAGACGAAATTCCGTGTTTGATACTCTGATCAAAACACTTGGGATGTAGGGAGAGCACTCGAAAAGCTGGAAACCACTCCGCTACACGTCGTGGTTTCCTACGCTTCTCTCGTGCTCTCCCTACATCCCGTGTGTTTTGATCAGAGTATCAAACACGGAATTTCGTCTTTTATTCCTTAATTAATATTGCTTAGAATCAAAGGACTGAGAACGTTTTTTTCTGTCTTTTTTCAGCACCATGAAAGGGGTGATGGTAGGAGTATTGAGAAAAGCAATCTGGGTGTTTTATTGATAGAGTTTTTTGAGCTATATGGAGTTAACTTCAACTATGCCAATGCTGGTATACGTGTTAGAGATGGAGGATCCTACTTCAACAAGCAAGAGGTATACTAGACTCTATAAGCTGATTATACATTGCAGTAAATAACATGGGAGTGTTAGCGAACTCCTGGAAACGGATGCTTTGGAGACTAGACTTGATGTGCATTTGTGTAAATTATCGACGCATAGTATTAAAATCATGAAATATTGGAAAAGATTTCAAGCTTATTAAAAGCAATGTATATTATTATAATTATTACTATTATCAGTATTCATTGTGAATTAAGAAAATGTGTATATACAGGAACATGTAAGAATGGCCAAGGTTTTTAGTTAAAGATGTGTTTTGTTCTTTGAAATTTTCAATAAATTTTAGATAGACATATTCACAGTCATTTTCACAGTTAATTATTTATTCCTAAGTTGTTTGGACTTTTTGTTTTGTTTGGACTTTTTGTTTTGTTTGAATTGGTACTTAATAACAAATAGCTTTCTATGAATCATAATTTTACACCATATAATTTTACTGTAATTCATTTATCTTGAGCAATGAGCTCACTTTGACAATTTGTTGTGCAATTTGAGTTACTGGCACTGGTTGTTAGACAACTTATCCATTTATTCATTTAATAAACCAGGTTTTGAATGATTTGGATGACGGCTACAATGCATCACTCTGTATTGAAGATCCATTTACAGAAGGTATGTGTCCACAAAATGGTGATAGCAATGGACCTCTTGGATGATAGAGCACAGGCTGCCCAACTATTGCTTCTTGGTTTTGATTGTTTAAGAAAGCATATCAACTGCTATAAACTCAACTACTCAACTATTTTTGTTATTTATTATTATTTATTTTATTTTTCTCATTATTGTTGTTTTTGTTTATTATCATATTGATCATATTATTGTAAAGCGTATGGGAGCATCTTTCTATGGACCGTGC